AATCAGACACTTAAAATGCCATTTAGGAAGTCTGGCCCAGGCCACATCATTGTGCCACCAGATACAGTGCCCTCTGCCCCTTCCATACCTTCTAGGGAGTTTCATTTATGGCAGACTGGAGTAGAAGTTCCCCACATGAGTAGGTTGCCTCCTCTGGGACTTTCCCAAGGTATTCCAGAGAACTGGAACCAAACCAGACCTCAGCCATGCATGTCTGGCATGTGACTCCCAGGCTCACCTAGTCACGATTTAGGGCCTTGGGTCTCTCATCTGCTAAGAAACCATCCCCAAACTGCACCCTCAGGACCTGCACCTCCCACTCCTGGGTAGGAAGGAGACGATGGGAAGGGGCCCTGAAAAGCAGAGAACAGGCCCCTAAGCTATGGGACAGTGACTGCCACAGTGTGAAATGGTCGCAGTCCACTTTGCAGGACCCCTTTCAGATACACCTGAATCAGCCAACAGCTGCAGCAAATAGCTGAGCCATGTTCCTCTCTTCTCGTACCTTTCTGCCGTTTCCCTCTGCAACCACATCAGGGCAGCTTATCCACAAACCAAGAAGAATCCCAACAGCTGCCCCTGACATATGACAGGCCTCCCTGTAGACTCCTGTTCTGAGAAAGCTGGGTGCCACTTGGGCCTGGTGCTGTGAAATACACACCCTTTGCAAAGCAGAAGGTGACATTTTTCTAGTGGACATGTAGAGGCCTTCTGATTCTTATTTTCTAAAAAGGCTCCCCATTGGTGTTTTGGGGAAACCCAGAGCTGGTCAACAAATAGTAAACCTGCTCACCAGCAAGCACCGTTCCTGTTTGTGCCAGCTTCACCACTCCTGGGGGTGGGTGCGAAGGCTGAGGGCAGGGTCATTGGATAGTAATTGGAGAGAGGGCCTACAATCTTATTTCTGGCATGTTCCATGCACCTGGCTGCCTGTTACTAAAGTGCAGTCTGGAGGGCTGAGCAACAAATGGCAGGGCCCCTGTAAGCTTCTGTGGCTCCATGGGCTAAGCGAGGAAGTTTGCCAAATGGTATGATCACCACTGTTGCCAAACACTGTTCCAAAAAACATTATTCCTTGAATATCCCCAAAGAATAAACCTCTCACCCTGAAAACCCTTGCCATCTGGTTTTCTTAATCAGTCCTTTGTACACAGGACATGTCCAAGTATGATCCCAACCAAAACTTCTCTTCTACTAACCCAAGCTCTAAGTCATTAGCCATTACAATTAGAATATTGAACTGCCCTGTACTTTCAGGCATCTGCTAAAATAGCTCTTTTGACGTTCCAACTCTAATAACCGAACTTAAAGATTCAGGAAAGTTAACTGCGAACTACTAACTCTTATGATCAACAGTTTGCATAGAGATCTGAAGCCAACATAAACCCTAACTTGCAGATGTTCAAACATGCGCTGGCAATTCTTTCCCCATATGGAAAGTGACATGGGCTCAGCACTTGCAACCTGTCAGATGTTATACAGCTGGTTGAGCCTGAGCTGCAAAATAGGACACTAATTGTGATACTGGTAGAAATGACACTGAAATAATTATGTCCCACTATTTGCTGTCACAAAACTCAAAAGCCTCAAGCAGGGGTAGGGAAACAAGAAAGTGAGGCCTCTAGCCCTTTCTGCAAGATGAGACACTGCCAGTGTGTGACCCTCTTCAACACTGGATTGTGTCTTGGTGCATCTGAGGACAAGGAGACTGCACTGAGTCAAAGAAGGGCATAAAGCTTCCAAGTGACAAGTGACAGACTTTTTAAATTTCTTTCTTTCTTTTCTTTTGTTTCATCCTTTCTCTGGGCAATAAAAAGGAAAGGGAAGAGGAACCACCCTCTGCAGTCTTGGTGATTTCTTGTTAAGTACATATATAAATACAAGTGTGTTGAAAGCATGTTCTCAATAAAATTATTAATAACTCTGGGAGGAGCCATATGATGTAGGATGGCAGGGGTGTGGCTCTTAGTGTGTTCCTTATTTCTGTGATTGGAGGCTGGCATGCAGAAGAGTACTTGATGACCACCTCTGGCTGTGGAATGTGGGCTCAGATATCTCCTTGTGTGCTGCCGGGTACCTGCTGTCTAAGCCACCCAAGTGTCTAGGTACTTGACTGAGCTCAGCATGCTCTGAGGCACGGCACATGTGACTCCCCTGGAAGCTAAGGAGTTCTTTGAGATAATAATAATAATAATAAACAAACAATAAAACACATGTGCACACACACCTCAATCACCAAAGTCTATAGCTGTTTCTGTGAATGAGTGATATGAAGTATCCCAGAAGTGAAAGTTGGGTTCCCTGGCACATAGAAACTAGAGAGCACTCAATAAAATTTAAAGGGCCTCTAGCAGGATCCCCTAGTAAGGGAAAAGTGTAAGTTCAAGTTTAAGGGGGGTGCTCCAAAAAATTTGACTTAAGTGACCCAATTCCCTTGGGTAGAGTCCATGAACAGGGGTGGTCTGCCTAGGACACAGGAAAGGCAGCTGCAGGGAGCAAGCAAGGGAGGGATGGGGTGGTGGAGACACCACGGGTTGCACATGTTTCCTTGGCTGTGGCAATAGCACTTTTGCCTGGGGACATGGCTGGATCAGGACAAAGCCCTCAAACTCATGTCTGTATACCTCTGGTATGGTATGGTGTGCTTTTGCCATGACAAAATTAGATTTGAAAAAAAATGTTCCCTACACAATACGCAAGGGATACACTGATTTCCCAAAAGTTCTGATGAGAGGAAGAGATACAGCCTTTCCAGGGGATTAAATTAGTCTTTGCAAAACCAGCATTTTCTCCTCCCCAAGAAATTAAGAACTTTGAAATTTGAATTCTACATTAATTTTCATGAGCCTGGCCTTTGGGACTGTGTTCCAGGTGCCTGAACAGTCTTAACTCAGTGGCCCTGAAAGGGACTCAGTCAGGTCATTCGTTAACATTTTCCTCACACCTAACTTAATCATGGCAGAGGCACATATACCATCATGCAGCACTAGAAGATGCTGATACAAAAGAACAACTGCATTGGCACTCTGATCCCAGAGAGTAAACAGGCCACTAAGCCTTCATGGCTCTACAGTCACCATGAGTACTTGACTGTCCCCCCTCCACCTCCCTCCTCTCAAGTCCATTTGTCTGCTTGGCCACTATTATCTCCATTTACCGTGACTGGTTCAAGTCAGTTTGTATTCTTTCAAGTTAAAAGCTGAGCATCAAATTAGAATAGTGAGTAATGTGTGGCAATGTTCATGAAATAGTTGGGCTTGTGTATTCCTATGTTACATGCAGTAATTCCAGGGTTTTCACTCTGCTCAGGCAAAGCATAACTTCAATTTCTTTAACCCTGCATTGAGGATCAAATTTTCGTTGTGTCTGTTGTGTGTGTGTGCACGCATTTTCAGTGCTGGGGACTGAATCCAGGGCCTTGAGCACTGGTTAGGTAAGTGGTTTCCAACTGAGCTACTCCCCCTGTCCAAGGATCAATTTTTCTGTTATGGAGACATTGATTTGCCTTTCCTAGTCTCTACTGTAATATCTACTGGAGGAAAACAGCCTCTGAACTGAGCCTGTAGCAGGTTCAATCTTGCTTTGTTAGCCTTCATAGAAACCCATGTGATCTTCAAGCTCCAACAAAGGAAGAATGCCTTGCACATGATGTTGAACTTGGTTAAGTTGCCCTTTATTAACAAAAATGTGTAGGTTTTGGTAAATTCCACTGTGGAGAACACAAACCATGGGATAAAACATACATCAAGAGACATTTCCCAAGCTGGGGAATTTAAGAACATGAGGAAAGAGTTTACACTGCACAATCCCCCGGTACTGGCTTCCTCCTTGAGTAGTTGTTCATGAGAAACAATTTACAATTCCTAAACAGTAACCAAAACAGTGCAAGAGGGCTCTTGAGATAGCTGTATGGGCATCAAAAGTCAGGTTAAAAAAAACAGACACAGCAGTGGAGTTTTGGTAAAAATATTTTCTTTTGCTAAATAATCTCACAGTTCTCAACATATTACAACATTACACATGTATGCAGTTTAAGATGAAAACAAACAAGTTTACAAAACCACTGTTGGACACTTAAAAATAAACTCTGTGTTGCTTTTCTTTTTGGCAGCACCAGCCTAAACTTTGCAATATTTCAGAAACTTCAGGTACATTACAATCTTCTGAGAAAGGCCCAATACTTCAGAATTCCTGGAGTGGCTGTGGAGAAAGAACATTACTGGCAACAAATATAAAAACAATTCAAAACCTACAGGAATTTATGTAATCATTCAAAAATGTTTACACATATTTAACCATTCACTCTAATATCCTTAATATTTTTCTGTCCTTTCATTGAGGTGCTGGGGATCAAACCCAGTGTTTCATACATGCTAGGCAACTGCTACACCACTGAGTTACATCCTTAGCCCTCTTAAATGCTTTTTCTGTTAGCATATTTACATTTCTTTTGGTTTACGAAAATATACTTTACAGGCAAATTGTTTTAGTTGAAGAAATGATTCTAGGGCCACATTTCCCTTTTTTGTTGCACATCTGGGGCCTGTACATGTGTATGGTCAGAGATTTTGTTTTCCTTGGTCCCCAAAGAGCTCACCTTTGACATACCCTCTACATGAACAGGAAAATTGCTCTTCTTATTCAGGAGCTCTTTTTGTGGTGGAATTCGGAGAACCCAGGTTGCAACATCTTTTTAGGGAGAGGTTGAATATATTTTTTCCTGTGGCTCTGCGTGCTTAAGAAATTTAAGTTGGCATAAAGGATTGACCACTGAGTTGGGCACAGCATTCCAGGACGCCTGTTGCCTGGCTGCAAACTGTGGGTGCTCTCACAGCCTGAATGTGGAACTTTGCCCATCAGAAAGCATTATGGGAACCCAAGTAAAAAATTTAAGCAGCTCAATGATATTGATGTCTTCCCCTTTGCCTTCGAAAGCAATCATAACTGAACATTTTGAATTATGAGGCAGAATTGACTGGATTAACACAAACACACACAAAAACTTTTCAAACATTATTTAATGAGGTAGCTGAGATCAAAGATCAAATCCACAGCATACACCAAGGAACTTAATAAATGATCAGGCATTTTGAAATGCAAACATCTACAGTGTCTAACAAATATTCTTCCTTTCCATTTCCTGTAGGTACATGCAAACCTCGAGAAAGGCCCTGCAAAGTGAGAACAGCAAGGCTGGGAGTGCATGAAGCTGGACAGGAGGAGACAGGAAGGGCCCAACAGTGTATGCCAAGTTTGGCTGATGTACTCCTGCTCATCATGGAATTCAATCAAGGTCAGTCTTACATGGAACAAACATCACTTAGAACCCAGACACATGATGGGTGGCCTTGACTTGAGGCAGCAAGGAGTACAGGGCCTGGTGCACTTATACTAAGCTTGAGGCAATACTGAGTATGCCCTCCACCCCCCAACACCTTCCAGGGTCCCTGGAGCCACCTTCCCTCAGAAGGGGTCTGGGCCCCATCTTTCCCCACTATACCATCCCAGGTTCTGGGAGAGGCTATTGCTTTCAGCTGCTCATGCCCTGAGTTCCCAACCTCTGCTCCCAGGCATAGAATACCTTCCATGCTGCTTGCTGAGAAGCTTTTCAGAAGTCAAATTCAAATGCCTTCCATCTGGAGCCAAAGGGAAAGGTGGCCATGCCAATCCTGGCAGCATGAATTTTATGACTCCCAGCAATACAAACATTCATAGCTCACCCACACAGACACAGTCACATGCACACACCCTCACACAATGCATACCCTTCTACACGCTCACAGGCATACACTCTCACATGTTTTTAAGTGCTGTACATATGCACTCGCTCACATGTGCACACGTTGTGTGTGTGTGTGTGTGAGCCCAGTAGCATCCCAGGTACAGCAAGCTCAGGTGAGGCCATGATCCAAGGTCAGGGGGGAAGGTGGGTGAAGTAAAAGGGTCTGGGACTGGGTGGGGTCACTGGGGAAAGAGCCCTGAGCTGTCCACTTTGCAGTGGTCATTCACTTTGCAGTCCTTGGAGGAAGTAGCCAGCACACCAGCACACCACAGGGAGCCTGCAGGCAACCCGGAAGACAAGCAGCAGGAAGGAAGGCACCAGATCCCTCTGTGTTAGGTTTCTGTGGTATAGTTATTGTAGGCCAGGGGAGGCAGGGCCGAAAAGCTGCTCCACCGCCTGGTGCCAGGCTGGGACTCCACACGCCCTTGCTCTTTATATTTACCCAGAATGTTTTTGGCTTCTTCTGCATCCCGCAAAGGATTCTCCCCATATTCTTCCTTCAGCCACTGCCGATACTGTAGAAATTGGAAATATATTTGAAATGTCACACACCTGCATTCACCGTGACTTTCACCTGTTACTTAATGGTCGAGATGATAGCACACGTAAACAGGGAAATCAAAGGGCACTGGGTAATCACAGCTAACAGAAATAACTGTTCCTTCAAGGTTTTGGCCTGAGGACATAAAAATAAGTCAAACCAATGCATCTACTTGACAGACTTGGATGGAACAGTTACTGTCTGTTGCTGAGGGTTCCTTACAAGAAACAAGTGTCCTCATGCTATCTGTTTAATACTGGCAGCCAAGATTAAATTGCTGAATCCAGAAGAAAAACATGGAGAATTTTTACAATTCAGTAATTTTATAAAGAAGAACCTAAAATCTGAGTTTACATGATTAGTGGTGAACAATATTCCCTACTACCCTCTCCTGGCTAAATACATCTTTAAAAACTTAAAGGCTAAATGAATTAAAAGCAAAAAAGAAAAGCAAGCAAGCAAGGCAAATGAAGAAAATGATACTTCACTGAAAGGAAGAGGAACATGCTAATATTAGGAGTACCAGGTGTAAGGAAAATGACAAGGGATACAAGACCCCTATGGCTGTAGCTGGGGCACAATGGATTGGTGACAACTTCTGTGGGGATAAAGGTGAGCACCCTTGAACCCAATATCCTCTGTGGGCCTCTCCAGTTCCAACCTTCTTGATTCTGGGACTGAAGGAATTGTCCCAGGGCAGTTGCCTGCGTCTGAAAAGCCTCGTGCAAATGAGCATTGCTTACCTGGTGGACTTCATGTTTCTCAAACTCCTGGAGCTGCCTCTGGAAGCCCAGATTGGGGTTGGCACAGGATCTCCCTGCACGCACGGTGTGCAGGGCATCCTCCCAGCCAAAGTCCGTGACGGTCATGATATAAGCAATCACCAGCGTCACACTCCTGGAGACCCCAGCCAAGCTGCAGAATGGAGAGGGTCATGAGTGCAAGGGCAGTTTTGGAACCATGTGTCTGTCACCCAACCCATTTGGGGCTGGGGATTCAGAGCATCTCATTTTAGGGAGTCTTCCTGCTTTGGATTACACATGGACAGCATGAAAGTATGTTATCAGGAAATCCTTTGGAAACATAACAGTTTCCCCCTACTCTGTGCCACTAGATCTCAGGCATCCTTTAAACATTTTGGCCTCATGCTTCATTGATTTTCTATAGGATAGAGCTACAGACACTTCTACCTTATGATGTTCAATTGCTCCTGAACCTCTTCTCAGACACTTCCTATTTTTTTGGTCAAATAAAATAACTCAAACATACCAAGGGGACTTGAGGCTTCCTGGACCTGTGGAACAAGTTCATTTATAAACTGCATTAGTTTAGAATGTGTCATGTTTTTTAAAAGTCTGGTTTGGTTTTCTTAGCGACATGAGGAATAAAACTGATTTTTAGAACCCATGAAATCCAGAAGCCCTTAGCAAATCTTACTTTTGTGTTTTTTTGACATAATTGAGCAGAATACTAGAGCAGGCACACTGCAAGTGCTTTGGGGCCTGGGGTCAGGCACTAACGGTCAACTCCAGCAGGCTAAGTAAGGAAACTATTATGGTTTGGATCTGGGATGTCTTCCAAAAGCTCATATTAAAAACATGGTCTGTAGGGTAGCAAGGTTCACAGGCACTGATTGGATCATGTGGGCTCTGACCTCATCAGTGAATTAATTCACATGATAGATTAATCCACTGGTAGCTGGATGGACTACTGAGAGGTAGGACTTAGTTGGAAGAAGCAGGTTACCGAGGGCATGCCTGGAGGGGTTTATTTTCTCCGGGACCCCATTCTCTCCCTCTCTCTGTTTCTAGGTTGACATAAGCAGAGCAACTTTCCTCTGTTGGGCCCTTCTGCCATGATACTTCTGCCGGGAAGCTGGCCAACCGTGGACTGAATCCTCTTAAACTGCGAGCTAAAATAAACTTTTCCTCCTCTCAGTTGTTCTTGTCTAGTATTCTGGTCACAGTGGCACAAAGTTGACTAACATAGAGACCAATTTAAAATACATATGCAAATTAAGGCAACCATAGAAAAGTTGTGCTTTGACAGACTTAAGAGTGTTCCAGCAACGGTTTAAGATTGGGAAGTCTAGCAAATGTCTCATTTTTAGAAAAGCCTTATAATTAGATGTATATGGTGGTGTGAAATAAGAATTTCTAGACTATCTGGCCAACACATATTTAAAAATAATAATAATACCACCACGACCTTACTCCTAAGTAGTAGTTCTTTATATAAGGACTTTATATAAAAAACACTAAGGGAGTTTTACAAAATTAAACCCTCGTAGCAAGGCTATAACCCTGAAGATCTGAATTCACCAGGAGCATGGAAAAGCCTAGGGGTTGGAATTTCAGAACTCCCCTTTATTTTACCTCCAAATGCACTCGTAGGTGCTTTAAAGTCAAATGTAACTGAACATAAAAAACAACCATTTGTATGTGTCACATTTCCTACTCTTTTAAAAAGTGAAATGAAAAATCACACTATTTCAAAGTTGTATAAATTGGCAGAACACCACTCTTGAAGTCACTGAAATAGCTCATGCCCTGACTAGCCTTCAGAACACATTGCAGTTATCCTAAGTGGCTTCTCTGGCTATCATGCATGCGTTCTCTCTGTCCTGACAGGGCTGCCACCAACCTTAGCAGCAACACTCCCAGGAACTGGCTTCACATTTTCAAAGAGTTTTGCACTGCAAGGGTGGCTGTTTTGGGGGAAGTCAAAAAAGATTGTTGTGCTTTAAGATAATTAATGCCACACCTTATTCAAAGGGAAAGGGGGCAGGTCCAGCCCCCCTTCATAGACAACAGAGCCCTGGATCCAGAATGTTGACTACTAGTTCCCCAGACAAATTAGCTATTACCATGATTACTACTGGTAACACAAATGACATTCCCCTGAGAACTTACCATGTGCCAGACACAATATTTGCCAGGCATGAGACCAAGAGTTTTATATGCATTCTCTGGGTTGAGTATGTAGAGTAACTTTCTTTTCACAGTATGTATATGTGTACATAGTTGTCTCTTGGTGTCCATGGGACACTGTTTCCAGGACACAACCCAGATACCAAAATGCTCAAGTCCCTTAAACAAAATGGCATAGTATTTGCATAGAACCCACACATATCCTCCTACATACTTTACATCTTCTCTGGATTATAATATAGAAATACAACACAAAGGCTATGTCAATAGTGGTATTTCTTAAGGAATAATGACAAGAAAAAAAAGTCTGTACATGTTTCATATAGAGGCAACATTTTCTTTTCCTGAATGATTTTGATTCATGGTGGGTTGAATCATGAATTCAGAATCCATGGATAGGGTGCATCAACACTGTTTCTCTCTTTCTCTCTCTCTCTCTCCCTCCACCATCTCTATAAAATATAGAAGAGTGTAGGTAGATAGTTGTCAATAAACTAATTCTGAGTCTATTTAGATTGTTTCAAAGAAAAGTAGTAAGCCAAACACTCATAAAAGCCCCAGGCTGTAAATGGAGAGGAAATGGTCATACTGGTGTTACAGTAATACATTACTAAACACCTACATTTGCAATCAAAATTCTCTAGGAAGAAACAGTGCTTTGAAAAGGTCACTGAAGTTTCATGGATGAATCTACAGAATTGGTAGTTGTCTCTTGGTGTCCATGGGACACTGTTTCCAGGAGGCCGTTCTGATGAAATGTTAAGACACAGGCTAGCAAAAAACAGTGTCTGTTGACTAGTAACCCTCACAGTCCCTATAGAAATCCTCACAGTGAGTAAAATGGAAAACAACAAAAAGAAAAGCAAAACCAGGTAAGGGTTTTGTTGGAACAAAAACAGGCAATGACTAATGCATATCTGGGAGAGGTGGAATTATGTTTGAGACTCTGGGTTTAGGAAAAAACATTAGGAGATGAAATAATCACACAGAGAAAGACACTCATGAGACATCAAGCAAAACAGAAAATACTAAGTAAGGTATTATTCAGAAAGAAACATACGTACCAGTGCACCAGACAGCCCTCACCTTGGAGTCTGCATTCATGAATGAATTTAATACTTTCTTTGAAATGTCTTGTCCTAGGCACAGGATAAAAAGAAAAAGAGAGAGAGAAGTGACATAGACTTTACTCAACATATAATGAAAAGAAAAATCCACCTAACACCTTTCTGAAAGAGCTCAAGAGTCCTACACCTTCAAAACCTGGTCAACTATCTGGGACCAGGGCTGCCTTAGCCTTAGAATGGGTCACAGGCATGCTGAGGTCTGGGGAAGGCTGCCCATGGTGTGGAATTTTTAGAATTTCTCTACAGAACATCCATGAAACACAAAGTTGTCATTTACTGGTAGTTCTGCTCAGCCTGCTATGTTCAATCCGAATCAACAGCTCAACCAGGGACCTTCATGCTGGCTGTGAATGCTGTATAGTCAAGTGAACTAGATAAGGAAGGCGTCCAGGCTATGTGTTCCCTGTCCTAGAAGCTAGTTTACTTGTGACAACCTGAGAAGCCTAAAAGCATCCTCCCACAATGGACTCTCCAGATTTTGGTAGGTTCTGTCTGTCTGTCACTGGACAGCCATGGGGAAATGGAAATTTCACCTCTAATTTCTGCTCTGCCATTTCATGTAGCTTGGGGAATGCAACTCAGAGATTAGGCATGACCCCTCACGGGGTGGACCAGGCCATGTGTATCAACCTATTCTGAAATTCTAAATGATTATTAATGCCACAATCCTTCCTTCTTCTGACCCTCAGATTTTTGGGCCACCCCTTTCACTAGTCACTTATTCAGCTCCTAACTGTTGAGGAAGTGCCTATTTATATGTCCTTGCTCACAGGCATGGGCCGCTCCTTTCTGAGCAGCTTTTCAGAGGTCAAGTTCAAATGCTGGGTTGTTTGAGATACAAATATGGGGACCCACTTTGATGAGTTCCCAACTGGTGTGTGTGCCCTATACTACATGTACAGCATTCTGGACTGAGCTGTGGACTAACTGCAGGTACTCCAGTGGACCAAGTACCTGCTTTTAAAGTACATTCTATCTTTGACTGGCTTCTACAGCAGTAAAACACCAAAAGCTACCCATGAACTAAATACATTTCCATTTAAACACTGAGTACTGACTATCTGCCTGGGATGCTGTTAAGCTTCAAGACATTCAGTGACAAATAAGATGTTGTTTCTGACTGCAGAATGAGAGGGCAAGTGCAACGAATCAGAACGGGAAGCTCAGGTGTGGTGTAATAACTCTCAGCTACTAACTACAGAAGAAACCCGAAAGCCTCACTGGAGGTGCTCACTGAGATTGGGATGGATGAGAGGTAGAAGACATTTTAAACCTGCATACATACATACATAAGGAACCCAGGCACCTATGTTCTGTCCACAACCAAAGTGTTGCTACAAGTGGAAAGTTCAAGTAGGCTAACCCAAAGATTCCAGACTCTTACCTGAGGGTCTAAATAGCATGACACTGCAAGATCAGCTTTCCATAACTGTCCTAAAGACAAATGCTCCCAGAACATAAATTTATAAAGTGACTCAGAATTGCAACATTTTCCCAAACACTGGCTTTGTACACAGCAGGCAAGAAAGCATTCTTGCTCTAATCTTGAAATCTGAAGTTTTAGTACTGAGAGACCTCAGAAGAGCCAGGCAGCAAAACTGAGTGCAAAGAGGGGTGAAATGGGGTGCTGGGCTTCCCACTGTGGGCTGCAGGAGGGAGGGAAGGTTTGGTGCTGATAGAGCTTCCTATCTCTCAAGCAAAACCAGCCACTCAGAGGTGACAGTGAAGCATTCTGATCTGGAAGTACTGGATATGTGGCAAGACATGGCCAGTTGCCCTGGTTTTGTGTGGGACAGCAAAGAGCTCAGGCCTGGGGAATGGCCTAGTTTCCTCTATCTACGGCAATGGAGAAGGAAAGGGAAGGCTGTGTGTACATGGTGATTTCTGGAAAAGTGTTCCCTTCCTGATGAAAGGAAAGTGATCTATCTTTGCCTCTAGTTTCTTGCCAGGGAACGGCAAGAACCATGCTCAAGGTTGCATTGCCACCTGTGACCACAGTGACAACTCCCCAGAGTGAAAGGACAGCAGGATGGAAAGGCCAGACTCCTAGAGGACATCCAGGGTCTGCTGCTCAGGCCTGGGAGTACCACTAGCAGGCTTCCTAACAATTGCCTCTATCCCTGAGAACACAGTTTTCTACTTATGGCCAAATACAGTCTCCCTGATAACAGCAACTAATTCAACAATTTATAAAACTCTGGGACAACTTGTGTAGTCTAGAAGTAGCTCCCAGGTTATTCAGATTCCAGGGCTCTCTCTTTTTTATTTTATTTTATTTATTTAAAAAAAATAAATGACAGTCGAATGCATTACAATTCTTATTACACGTATACAGCACAATTTTTCATATCTCTGGTTGTATATAAAGTATGTTGACACCAATTCGTGTCTTCATACATGTACTTTGGATAATGATGTCTATCACATTCCACCATCCTTGCTAATATCCTGCCCCCTCTCTTTCCCTCCCACCCCTCTGCCCTATCTAGAGTTCATCTATTCCTCCCATGTTCTCCCTCCCTACCGCACTATGAGTCAGCCTCCTTATATCAGAGAAACATTCGGCATTTGTTTTTTTGGGACTGGCTAATTTCACTTAGCATTATCTTCTCTAACATCATCCATTTACCTGCAAATGCCATGTTTTTATTCTCTTTTATTGCTCAGTAATATTCCATTGTGTATATATGCCACATTTTTTTTTATCCATTCTTATACTGAAGGGCATCTAGGTTGGTTCCACAGTTTAGCTATTGTGAATTGTGCTGCTATAAACATTGATGTGGCTGTGTCCCTGTAGAATGCTGATTTTAAGTCCTTTGGGTATAGACTGAGGAATGGGATAGCTGGGTCAAATGGTGGTTCCATTCCCAGATTTTCAAGGAATCTCCATACTGCTTTCCATAATAGTTGCACCAATTTGCAGTCCCACCAGCAATGTAGGAGTGTACCATTTTCCCCACATGCTCGCCAACACTTCTTGTTGTTTGTCTTCATAATAGCTGCCATTCTGACTGGAGTGAGATGATATCTTGGAGTAGTTTTGATTTGCATTTCTCTAATTGCTAGAGATGATGAACACGTTTTCATATATTTTTTGATTGATTGTATATCCTCTTCTGAGAAGTGTCTGTTCAGTTTCCTGGCCCATTTATTGATTAGGTTATTTTTTTTTTTTTGGTGCTTAGCTTTTTGAGTTCTTTATATACCCTAGTGCTCTATCTGATGTGTGACGGGTAGAGATTTGCTCCCAAGATGTAGGCTCTCTGTTCACCTCACAGATTTTTTTCTTTTGCCGAGAAAAAAGTTTTTAGTTTGAATCCATCCCATTTATTGATTCTTGGTTTTAATTCTTATGCTATAGGAGTCTTATTAAGGAAGTTAGGGCCTAATACCACATGATGAAGATTAGGACCTACTTTTTCTTCTATTAGACACAGAGACTGGTTGACTACAGGGGGTGGCCAGAGAAGGCATGCTCCTTTGTTCACCAGGTTGTCCACACTGTGACCCCCAAGAGCTCCTCACACAGCTGTAGCCTCCGATCTTGCTTATTCTTGTGGGGTGTTTTCCTGTTTGGGGAGCATTGGGTCTGTGAGCACTGGCAGCCAAAATAGCAAAAGCAAATCTAGAAATGATGACAACTACCTGGATGAATGAGTAAACCACAGAGCCCTTCAGAATACACTGTGAAGACAGAAGTTAGCAGAGACCTTCTCTGATCCAGAGCAGGACTTGGAGTCTTGGAAACATGGCTGGTTGGGGCTCATCAAGATCTTACAAAGAGAATAACTAAATCTCTTTACTGAAGGCTCAAAGTAGGAGCAACTTGTTTTTACCCCTGTACATTGCAAACCACAGGTATGATGAAATCAGGCTTCCTACAGATTATGGTGTTGATCCTCCACCTTTAAAATAAGGGAAGGCTGTGCTCAGCTGGGGAATATCCAAACCCACCCTGAGTCCAGAGTAGGTGAGCAAAGAAACCTAGGAAGCAGAGAGGAGATGTTCCCCACTCCTGGCTCCCTGCTGGTTCTTTTCTCCTTCTGGTCTGCCCACAACAAGGGTTAAATACAAGACAACCATGGTATATGGCTCCCATCTACCACTCTGTTGGGGGAAAGGGCTGCTCACAGTCTCAGTCCAGGGTATGAACAAAACCTGTGAGGGGGACTGCTCAGAGCCCCACTGTGAAACTTGACTCATGCACATAACTAGGCATGAGGCCAAGTTTGGTAGACATTGCTAGAAATGCCTTTTCCAGGAAAAGCCAGGAGGCAGGCAAGCTCACTGGTATAAAACTGTGTGTTGCTGACAGTGTGCGGTGGGTGTGGGGGGGTTTATTTCCAGGGAAGCCAATGACATAAGCCCAAGCTCTGGTCATTAGACACCCTCCACAGTGGGAAATACCCACGGCCTGGGTTCTTCTATTGCTCAACTCCGATTTGAAGCAGAAGCACAAATCTGAGGCACCATGCCACCGCGAGCTATTTCAATGAAGGCAAGTTCCCTATTCTTGTTCTTTATTTGATTGCAGTTAACCTTTGCTTCCATACAAAGACATGTTATAAGCTCTGTATGCAGAAAATAAGCTAAGAACATCCAGAAGGAAGCATGACTTACAGGTGTGTTACACTTACCAACAGCACCTTGGGGTCATCATGCCCTGCTTCTGCTGACAGACCTGGGAGGACACCTTAGTGAGTGGCAGGAGTGTGTCCACAGACAGGTGGCCTCTATGTGGACTCAGCAAACAGCCCAGCAGCAGCCAACTGTCCCCCTTCCAGTTCAATGACCAGTGGCACTCACCCCTGTCTCTTTGCATCAGACAACAAAGTCAGTGACCAAATGGGCCTTTCTGACCTTCTAAGAGTTCAAGAAGGACAGTGGATGGTTCTCATAAACCACATCAGAGGATTCTCATTTTCAAAGCCAACAATTACTTCTTGCTCCAAGAGCATGAGATTTGGAGGCTATGATCCCCATTGTAGGACAGGAAACAGTCAGGTCCT